TCTTGGAGATCACAACCAATAATGTCGGTAGCCTCGCGTAAAGCTTCCTTCCATTTAGCAACCTGTTCGGTTGTATTTGAACTTTCATGTTTGATGAAGGCTTCCGCATAGCTCCCAGTTTGTTTCCTCACTACRTCAGGCTTTACATCATAAAATAGAATTCGGACCTCATGTTTGGGCTCCCCTGCTCGCTTGCACTCGAGGATTTTTGTGGGTTCCCTCAAACACCATGACGAAGATGCAAATTTTTTGGAGAAGACAACTATCAAAAACCATGATTCTTCAATGGCTTTGTACAGTTCAGGAGGCAGCTCTTCTCCTCTCAGCTTTTCGTCATCATCTCTGAAAGCATTAATTCCTTTTTGTTTGAAATCTTTGAAGAGATAATCCATGAAGCTTTTACGGATATCTTCACCTCTAAAGCTTACAAATACATCATATGTCCATCGACGTTGAGAGGATGCACTTGTACTAGCCATTATCTATAATCACAGTTGTGTGTACATGTAAAAATTAGCAAAAAGAATAGCTCAAAAACATTATGGAACATTCAGACCGAAAAATATCAACCCAAAAAAGAAAAAAGTGAAAAGAGCATCAAAGATTTTCATTGGTCAAGTTCTATTCACAACGGTAAGTAACGAAAATCGAATAGAAGTAAGAACCTGTTACAAGGTCAGATCAAAAGTTGATACAAGATTTAAACTCTACCAAAATTAAACCTCAATCGAATCGAAGCAAGTTCAAAATAATCCCCAAAATTACACTTCCTTGAAAAATTGGGGATTTCATAGATCGATTGTTTCCATCAACTGAAAAAGCAGAATTGAGTGGTTTAAATGCTYATTCCATCCATTATCAGCATAAAATTGCATCTAAATTGGTCATATTTTGATCAAGATTCAAYCGATTGATAACAAATCGAAAGGAAATAATCAAGAATTTAAAAACAGATGAAAAGAAAGAAGAACAAGTAACTGATAACTTAAAGTTTGTGTGTTGGAAGTCTGCGAATGAAGAGGAGATGATGGTGAAATGGAAGGTCATCAAATTATAAAGAAATAGACGGATGTTGACCTCAAGTCAACTTTATATGGATCCATTTAAAACTACAAAACATATAACTTAAAAAAGTATATAAATTTAAATTATTAGTTGTTTGTATTAATAAGTTTAATTTTTAATTTTAATTTTCTCATTATATTATTACATCTAGATTATTTTTAAAATACTTTTATATCACTACAACAAAAAGACTTTACAGGACACTCATTAGTGTCCTAATAAGGTAGTTAATAGGACTTTTAAGTTTATAGGACAAAAAATGTGTGTGTCTTATCTAAAGGTGTTGTATTAGGTTAATAGGATGAATTTGAGTGTCCTAAAAAACTCTAGGATTATGATACAAAACCCATAGTCCTATAAAATGGTTTTAGTAAC